AAGGTTGCAGGAGCTGGCTGTCACTCCGGCGCTGGTTCCCCACACGTGCACCCCCCTTTATGACCACTCGTCCGGCACCTGGATCACGACTTGTTTCAGCAGCGCTACGATCTGTTTGGTTTGGACGGCGCCCGGGCGAGTGGTGAAGTCAGTTGTGATATATTTTAAACCCCGGGGCCTGGAATGGGGGTACACTCTCCCCTGAAGATAGTACAAGCCAGGGGACAATTCATTCACAGCCCCGTGAAAAAGGATATATTTGGCTGGTGGAAAACCTGGCTCTTTCTGCAACGGTACGCTTTGAAAGCATTCACCATGTTCACCATGCTCTTAACCTCCCACATGGACAGCACTCACAAATTTGCCATAGACACTCATTTTTCCCAGAGAAACTTACACGGTGAGTTCAGAGACAACATCCAAAAGCAAAGACCTTAAATCCCAAGCTGACCCGCTTTTTTTTTCTTTTTTTTTTTTCAATGACACATTTGACAATAAACTCAGAGGAGTGAATTTTTCCAGCCTTGGCGCTGGATCCCAGGTGATGGCACGGCAGATTCCTCCGGACTGGAAGTCTGAGCCTGTGGTCTCTGCAGACACACACAAATAAATGCCCGTCCCCAAGCACCAGCACTGAAGTGCTCTGCAGCCCACAGGGAGCTAAAGGCTTCCTGTCGCAGCTGAAAAAGGACCGTCTTGATTTTGGAGTGACCGTCGTGGTGTGTTTAGTCGACCAGGTGAGCACGGGTTACAGCAACCGCTCGCTTTCTGTTTATAATGCCCTGGACACAGTTCTTTTGTCAGAGCAATTTTCACCCTTGCAAAGCTGCTTCTGTTTGTGAACTGCGCTCCCATACAGCACCTTCTCTGAGCAGTCATCAGCGCCGCTCTGAAATGTTTGGATAGTTTGAAATAAATTTCATCAGAAAAACCACAGGTTTCTATAAAGGAGTACAATTGTCCTGTGTTTTCTGGTATGGAGGCTCTCAGAACAGCTTCTCCTTTCTCTAGGACAGGATTAATACATGTACTGTTGCTAAGTGTCCGATATTTATGTTCCATTAAGTTCAAAACAGAATTTTTTTCTATTCAGCGTCAACCCCCACAGTCTCAGATTCGCCCATGAGTTTTGTCTCCCTCTTTCTCGCAGCTCCTCACTGCATCACACGGCTGAGACCACCATCCAGATTGCAGACTACCCCACTTCCAATCCCATCTGGTAAGCCCCCAGGGGTATCAGAAAGCCAAAAAGAACCTGTCAAATATCTCCCACAACCTCTATGACTAATAGCACTGCTCAGATCCAGGAATTGAGCAAGAGTGCTACCTGCCTGCACTCATTCTTCAGTGTAGTTGTATTTACATCGCTTAAACCCAGAGTCTGGCAGCACCTTTGCATGGATCTTTGTGAGCTCTGTGCTTCCACGGCAGTCTCAGAGTTGGAAACCCCCATCCTGCCACCACCGCCGGGACCTTCTCCTCGCCTGTGATCTGGCAATGGTAATTTCTAATTTCTCTGCAGCCTTTGAATAGAGAAGCACCTGGGCAAGCCTATGAAACGCTCCTCAGGTGCGTTTTATTCCTCTTCCCATCCACTGAAATATTTACACATCAAAGGGAGCCTTCTTATCTAATGGGGTTTGGATGTTCATTAAAGCAACCCATGGGCAGTAATAAAAAGCAATGCCCTGCAGCACTGGGGTCGTCTGCAGGCGCTGAGCCCCAAGCCTCGCCAAGGGTGACAAGGGCCGAGGGTGACAAGGGCGGCTGTGCTGGGAGGGGGGAAAAGGAGGGCACCCACTCTGCAGGACGCTCTGCACAAGGCCAGGGGACCTGGCACCTCCTTAAATACTCTCCTGGATGTGGGCCTTCCTCTCTTCCAAAGCAGCTGCACTTTGAAGTCTTTACAGCACCCTGGCACCTTCTGAACAAGAGGGCAGCAGAAAGTGCCTAGTCTGCAGGTAACAACTGAGCATTGGTTCATGGGCATCTTTGAAAGGCCAAGAGACCCCCCTCTCCTGGTGAGTGCCCGTTTCCACATTCTGTCCATTCACACTCATCATCTCCTCCACCGCAGAGGCTGTAAAATAAACACCCGTCCTGCCCTGCCGCGCTGTTATCATCTCCCCAGACAGCTCGCCCTGCACTTCCCTTCAGGGTGACTCACTCCAGATGTGTCTGCATCTGTCTTCCCTCCGGCATGGGGCTCCCACCCATCAGCCCACGGACACCCCAGCCCCGACGCATCCTGTGGATGTGATCCCACGCCGTGACTGCTGAGAACAGGCTGGCACTCACACCTGCGGTGTGTACACCTCCCTGCCCCATGGGTAACGTGGGATGTTCCCCTCTGCTCTAGCTGCTCTGCTGGGGACAGTGGCCTGAACCTGCTGCAGAAGCAGGTGGACACGCTCTACAACAACTTGGCCAGGCCAGGAGAGGCATCAAGGAGGGCATGCTATGGGTAGAAGGTGGGAAATGAAGCGGGGAGGGAGCAGACCCAGGGGAAGCACCTCCAGGGGTGCTGGGACCAAGCAGTTGGCAACCTCCACTGCTACCAGCAGGGTGAGGAGCAGAGTGACCAGGGATCTGCCTTCCCAAATGCCTCCTTGACCCACCCAACGTGCACCTAACACAGGGCCAGAGAAACGAGTCCAGAGCCAGATGCTGGGAGGGGACATCATACGGCAGAGGAGCATCTCGCACCACCCAGAGCACATGGGGCCTGCACAAAGGGCCCCAGGAAACCATACTATGGCATCTCACAGAGGTCTTCCAGCTCATGCCAGGCACCCACCACACCATCCTGTCATCACAGCTGCCCAACAAGAGCCACAGGGTGCCCAGACCCTGCCAGCAGCACCGCCAGCCCTTGCACCAGGATCGTTTCTGCCAGGGGAGCTCCTCAGGCTGCAGGTGTCCACACCAGGCAGGGCACCCATGCAGGCATCTGGGACCATGCCCACCCCTCTGGCTTCTGTTAAACTCTCTGGTGTTTCTCCCTGGGGGAGGAATAACACATCTGAAGCCCAAAAATATTATGATATTCCCATGCATCCACGTGGCTCTGGCCAGCCCAGCCATGGCCCTCTAACCTCTCCTTCCCCTTAGCCTTTCAATTAGCTCTTGCCTTCCTGACGACTTCACTCAACACCCAGAGCGATTAGAAGGCAGAGGAAGGCCACAGCTTTGTCTCGAACGATGAGCCAGATTAATCAGCTCCAGTTGCACTGAATTACCCGGTCGGGGCTCACAGCAACAGCCTCCGATTCACCGGCAGAGCCGCCAGCATCCCGCTTCCAGCCGGGATAATCAGCAAGGACGTGAAAGCCAGATGAATGACTAGGTGAGGGTGGGCTGCCGCCTGTCAGGAGCTGGAATATAAGTCAAAGCGCTTTGAAATTAAATCCTGGCTTTGACAGGGAACTAATACAGAGATTTTAAAGTAGGTGTAATACACTTAGACAGGCATGTGTGCAGCCCAGTGCAAGTTGCCGTGCTTTGAATAAGTGTGTCCCGGCTACACGGAGAGCAGGAAAATGGAGTTGAAAAGACAAAGGGAATTTTGAATAGCTCCAAACCAGCTTGGCGAGATTTTAGAGATGGTAGCAAGAGGTTTTAGTAATGGACCTAACTAATAACATTGTCAGGAGGAGATTTGGTGCATGGTTGTTGGCTGCCTGGGATCTTGAATTTCACACCAAGCAGCCATCTCGTGTCACTCCTGGCTTTAAATTAAGTCATTTGTGCCCACATGGACCGTGGGGGATAGACGGAGGGATGGTGGATGGGGGAGGCAATAGGGATCCCCACTGCACCTCTTGGCCTCTGGGGGACAAGCCACACTGTAGTAGCTCCTGGGATTCCCAAAGGTTGACCTTTCTAGACGCCTTCAGAGGTGGATTTAAGCCTCGGTACTTGGTCAAGCATCACCCTCCCCGTGCACAGCCCGGAGCCCATCACCAGGGCGCTGCGGCTGGATGCTCTCCAGAGGAGCAGCTCTCCCGAGACAACAAGGGGGTTTGCAACCTCGTCCCTGCCACCAGCTCCGGAGGGTATTCCCTCCTGACAGAGCCCACCCCCCCAGACCTCTCCCCTTATTTGTGAATTTTCAAATGCCAAAATCTGCCATTTGCGTTGAACCCTCTGAAACTGGGATTTGGGAAATCCCTGCCTCCCCGAGGAAGGCGGTCTCGGTCTCGGCAATGCCGAAGCTGCTCCCAGCAATTCGGAAAAACCCCGGCAGCCCCTTGCCCCATCCTGGGGGCTCTGCTTTTCCACAGCCCCGCGGAAATTAACCTAAAAGCGACAAATACGAGAGAAATCCCCCCCCGCCTTCCTCTTCGAGATGCCCCCATCTCTCCCTGCACCTACGAGGAGAAGAGGCCCCCCTGACCCCCCCGCGCCCACCAAACCCATCCAGGGTTGCACACCCTCCCCGTGCACAGCCCGGAGCCCATCACCAGGGCGCTGCGGCTGGATGCTCTCCAGAGGAGCAGCTCTCCCGAGACAACAAGGGGGTTTGCAACCTCGTCCCTGCCACCAGCTCCGGAGGGTATTCCCTCCTGACAGAGCCCACCCCCCCAGACCTCTCCCCTTATTTGTGAATTTTCAAATGCCAAAATCTGCCATTTGCGTTGAACCCTCTGAAACTGGGATTTGGGAAATCCCTGCCTCCCTGAGGAAGGTGGTCTCGGTCTCGGCAATGCCGAGGCTGGTCCCAGCAATTCGGAAAAACCCCGGCAGCCCCTTGCCCCATCCTGGGGGCTCTGCTTTTCCACAGCCCCGCGGAAATTAACCTAAAAGCGACAAATACGAGAGAAATCCCCCCCCACACCTCCTCTCTTCGAGATGCCCCCATCTCTCCCTGCACCTACGAGGAGAAGAGGCCCCCCTGACCCCCCCGCGCCCACCAAACCCATCCAGGGTTGCACGGGGGAGAAGGGGGGGGCATTCGGAGGGGCAGGAGGCGCCGCCGGAGCCC